CTCAAACTAAAATTTTCAAAATCTCTTGAGAATTTATGGAATTATAAGTCGCGTTATGGCTCTAAGCGTTAACATTCCATTAAACCAAATTTTCTTTGGGGGTGTGTGAAAAAACGTAAATACCAAGCCTCTGGAAGCACGTGATTCTTCTTTTGCAAACACGATTCCACGTGAGAAATTCATGAATCGTCTGATGATATTTGTTTTCTTTTTAAATGTTTATGTAATTTTAAACGTTTGTCAGAAATGGCTTATCGCGGCATAAAGATAACGAGAAAATGGCTCCCTTCAAAAATTTTGTGTTAAAGCTTGTTTGTTAAGTCCAGTTTGTTCTCGAAGTTGATTAGATATTTTGCACCAATTAAATATATTGAATATTTTAAGTAATATACTGCTGTATGCTTTTATTTAGTTACATTGATCGAATTCTTTAACTCATAAAAAATTATCTTTTATCATTAGTTTGGAAAGAAGTTTGTTTAGCCAACCAGAAAAGACCTGTTGGATAATAATACCGTAGATCGGTTTTTATTGGATCCAAAAAGCAGGCTTTAGCTGGTTGGATTATACTGATTTTATCTCTATAATAAACACAAACACTGAAAAGTTTTGTTGGATCTTATCGTTTATCTTTATGAAAAATGAAAAAAAAAAAGGTTTGTCAAGATTTGAACTTTGTCTAGTATTCTTATCAATATTTTTAAAAAGGTAGGCTGACTAAGCAAAAAGAGCTATATATATATACATATTTATTATTTTTTTGTTTGTTGTCCTCTTTAAAAAATTACATTTTTGTGAAATTGTTTTTTGTTTTGTATATAACATTCAGGTATTATTGTAAAAATAAAAAATTCGTTTATAAAGAAACAAGTTGTATCCAAATATTAAAAGATGACTTAATAAATACCTTGAAAATATGAAAAATATACATTGTTTTCTATTCCCCCTTCAATTCAAAAAGAGGTGTATTTTTTTTAAATCTCGTTTTTATATACCGCCTTTTGGTCTGTTTTGGTACTCGGAGTCACAAATTTTGGCATTTGTTTTTGGTTAATAAGGCTTATTTTTTATTCCCATATAAAGATTAATTAACAAAAATTATCCTAAGATTATTCTAAACGGGTTATTAAAGTTTCAAAGTTAGGAAGTTTCCAGTTATTTATTTTTACTACTAATTGTAACTATTTGGACGTTCCTTTATAATACGGTGTTGAGTGCTCTTTTTATCTTATGAAATTTGTAAAATTTTTATGTTAAAAAAATATTTATGAAGAATATTTCATGTATGCTTATTTCAAGATTTTTAAATCTGCAGATAAAACTCTGTTAAAGCGTTTTTTTCATTTTGGCCAAGTTGAAAACGCATTATTTATTTATTTGTTTATTTATTTTATTAAGTAACGCAATGTTAAAACTAGTTCCGAAAAAAAATGTGATTCTTAGAATTGTATTTTCTATAGGTTTCGTCAAAAATTTTAAAATTTAAAAAAGTGGTAATTGCGTGTAACATCTGCGCTACAGAGTGAAAGATTTCACACAATCGATTCAATGGGATCAATTTCAATCAATGGGATTGATTCATTTTTGAGAAACAGGAATTTTTGAGAACAGGTAAAAACGAATATTCTGTTTTGAGATTGAAAAAAAGAATTTCGCAATTCCATATTCTAGTATATGGAAATACTTTAAATATTTGCAAATCTCATGTTATGACACTCAGAAATTCTTTGTTTAAGGCAAAGGCTAAATCATACATTTTTATTAATTTAGAAGTGAAACACCCCAAAATCAAGTTTAAAGATATTATTATTGCATTCCAAATGCAAATTATTGTCGACTTAGTATGAAACATCATAGAAATTCACTAAAAGATATTTATTTCGAGCAAAAAATTGAATCTATATAAATATTTCTCTTACACGGCGACAAAAAAAGCCTCATTACAACTCCCCGAATGGCAACGCTAGAAAATCGACCAATGATTGCCGCTAAAAATGTCACATTTCAATTCTAGCTGAGGTGGCTCAACATATAGCGCTTTTAAAAACGGAAACTGAAATAACCAGAGAGAGCATCAGCTGCGGCAATCTCATACTATTAAGCTAGGCTGAAGTGAGTAGTCTTTGTCGATAGATCTCTATTTTAGTATTTTGTCGAAAGCGCTTTTTTTCACGAATTTATATATTACGAATTTACTAGTCTATATTTGATTTATATCACGAATTTATTTGTTTTATTATTGTTATTAGTTATTCATTGAAAAATGAGTCTCAGTCGTGCTGTGACGCTTTAAGATTTTATACTATAGCACATTTCCAATAGGTTTAACGATTTACATGTCATTTATTTGAATTCAAATTTATTTTAATGACTTAGTATGTACTAAAAAGATTTAATTTTTTTTAAAAAAAAGTTGTTGCATGGATTTGAATGATTGTTTTGAATTCTTAGAATTTTGTGCATTTGTAATGTTCTTAAGTTAGTGGCGAGCGAAGTGAGCTTGGTTTGCGAAGCAAACCATATAAGATTGCGTAGCAATTTTCGGGTTTTGGCAAGCGTTAGCGAGCAGGGGGCGCAGCCCACTAGTTTATAATAATGCTTTGTTTATTAAAATTAATTTTTTCTTAAGTAGTATTATTTACGCATGCCTCACGGGATTTTAAAGGCAATTATAGGATTAATATACCTACTCTGAATGGATAATACATTTATCTATTAAAGCTAATGACAGAGTTTTAGTGTATGTTGTTATAAAAACAACACAAAATAGCCTTAAAATTCAATGTTTTGATGAGTTTTACTTATAGATTTTGTAACTCAATATCGTTTGACAGAAAAACTTTTCAATGCTGAGAATAACGAGGCGGTCTTTTTGAAAGATCTATTATTCTTCATGCAAACTTCATCAGAATAGTTGTTAGCATTTAATTTCAATTAAAAGATCATAAGGATGAGAATGCACCTTAAAACGTTATCAGATAGATAATGCAGCATATAGTTGAATTCTCTATCAAAATCAATCATGTGCAAGCATTGTTTTCGAACAAATAATATTATTTGCNTAGTATTTACTAAAAAGATTTAATTTTTTAAAAAAAAATTATTTTAATTTGGATTTGATTATTTAATTTGGATTTGAATGATTGTTTTGAATTCTTAGAATTTTGTGCATTTGTAATGTATCTAAGTTAGTAGCGAGCGAAGCGAGTTTGGTTTGCGAAGCAAACCATATAAGATTGCGTAGCATGTTTCGGGTGTTGGCGAGCGTTAGCGAGCAGTGAGCGCAGCCTACTAGTAAATAATAAAACTGCATAATAAATAACTTTAATAAAAGTCAGCAGCTTAATATGTAACAATGTATTGGATATAGTTTTAACTTTCTGTAGTTTTTTTAAACATTATTTATCAATCAGGAAACTGATAGATAAAACAAAATTAAAGGTATAACATTATCATAAAGGTATAACATTATCATAAGGTATAACATTATCATTAAAGGTATAACATATCAGATTGCGTAGCATTTTTCGGGTGTTGGCGAGCGTTAGCGAGCAGGGGGCGCTGCCCACTAGTTTATAATAATGCTTTGTTTATTATAATGAATTTTTTCTTAAGTAGTATTATTTACGCATGCCTCACGGGATTTTAAAGGCAATTATAGGATTAATATACCTACTCTGAATGGATAATACATTTATTTATTAAAGCTAATGACAGAGTTTTAGTGTATGTTGTTATAAAAACAACACAAAATAGCCTTAAAATTCAATGTTTTGATGAGTTTTACTCATAGATTTTGTAACTCAATATCGTTTGACAGAAAAACTTTTCAATGCTGAGAATAACGAGGCGGTCTTTTTGAAAGATCTATTATTCTTCATGCAAACTTCATCAGAATAGTTGTTAGCATTTAATTTCAATTAAAAGATCATAAGGATGAGAATGCACCTTAAAACGTTATCAGATAGATAATGCAGCATATAGTTGAATTCTCTATCAAAATCAATCATGTGCAAGCATTGTTTTCGAACAAATAATATTATTTGCCATTTTTATGTTTTACTTAGTATTTCAAGGAAGAAATATTAAAATTGGAATATTCCAAGAACGGAGTTATATTTATGGAGTTAAATTTTTAAATATTTCGAGAATGAATAAAATAAAATAAAATTAATCAATCAATTATCTCAGAATGGAATATTTAAGGTAATATAATTATATGTACAACATTTGCAATGGAAAATATCTCTAACTAGCTTTGTAAAAATTTAAAGAAAGAAAAAAAACCTCGTTAAATTAAAATTAAAACGAAAAAAAAAAAATAACATGAAAGATATACTTTATCATAGAAAAACTTCATCAGCTTCAATAATCATTAATTATAATTATCGTACAGGTCGAGTAGAATTTTCCATATTAATAATATATTTAACTAATATAGTTTTTCCATTATCAAGTATTAAATTAGAATGTTAATTAAAACTTCCTGAAACACCCTACACCGAAAAATAAGTTACGTGTTTTGGAAGAAGTAATTCTCACCTCATTAGGCGTAGGAAGTAGGAAATACAATTAAAAAAAATTTCTTTCGTTTTTAACAATTGTCTTTGAAGAGAAAATTAAAGTATACTGTTTTGATTATTAATATATATATCATTTTTGAAATCGTCCGTTTCCTAGGGGTCCTTTGAGAGTCGTTTCTGCTCGGAATATTTATTAATTCTTTCTTTCAAAGACATAGAAAAGTACTTTTTGAAAAAAGTTGATAGTCATTCCTCTCTTTATAGACAGTTTTCGATTATTAGATAGAGCTAATTAGTTCCATGCAATTTTTTCACGCAATACATGAATGAATTCATGTATACATGAGAAATCTGCCAGTTCATATTGTCAGATAATGCATTCCGTATCTTTAGCCATTGCAAAGAAGGTGTGTCAACATAAACAACGTATGGACAAAATACTATTGGCGAAATTGTGTATTTAAGATAAGAAGTGTGCGAAAATATCTTGACGTAGTATCGGACCATCCTGAGCAGCATGATAGCATATAAGCTTATAGCCACACTTTATAAGCCCCTTTTAGTAATTGGTTCTAAGAACAACAAGGAAGCAGCATCTGGCCACAACTTCATCACACTGTGGGAAAGTACTCACTGCTGTATTTTTCATATCGGAAATCTTTTAGAATTCGATGTTTGGCACCTTTACTGTATATATTCTAACAGCTAGCGTAGTTGGAGTTACGCTGCTTCTTTATTGCCCCGATCTTGTGTCGGGATTTCGTTCTCCTAAAGAAAAAAATAAGCAATTTAGTCCTGTCATATTAAGTAAGTAAAATATTTTTTTTTTTAAATTTTAACTTTTAAATGTTTTTTCTTTATCATAAGGCAGTTTTTCTCTGAATGTTAAAATAAATAAAAATTTGTCATTAAAATTTTTGTAAAAATTATTAAATATGTTAGAAAATAAATATATTTAGAAATATTCATGTATTAGCATTAGAATTTCTTACAATGTGCAAACTGACAATGAATATAATTTTTTGTTCTAAAATATCTTGTAAACATTATTATTATTATTTTTTTTAAAAAAATCGTTTGAAAATGATAAAAATAACACAATTTTATATGCAAACGATTTAGTAAATCGTTTTCTCAATTTTTATTTTTAACATCTTTTTTTGAATAAAATATGTACCATGTTTTTCGAGTAATAAATTATTTTAGAGCAAACGTTTGTAAATCATGGTAAATTTAAAAGCTAATTTCAACATATTTCTTAAAGGAAGCAAGAGTGTTGTACACATTCGTATACACTTTAACATTAAAGGAATAACAACTAAGAGGTAAAATTTTTTTCTTCTTTACCATTAAGAATAGCCTACTTTATTATATCAGATGCACGAGTGTTCGAAAGGATTCTCACCCTCCCCCCAATTAATTGTTAACAAAGTTTAGCAATTTAGTAATGAAGTGTTTTTTCTGAATGTTTATGACTTGTGTAGTTTATGGGAAAAACTGAATAAAAACTAATTAGTTCTTTGGTTAACTTAAATTTAACTTCTATAAAAAAAGGCTGTTAATCGATAGTTTCGTTATATGAGTAAAAATTTTTCTGTAAATGTAGTAAGTGTAGTAGAATGTCTTTAAAAGTAGCACAACCAATGGGGGAATGAATAATTTATGCATTATATATTGTTCTTGTTGCCTGTATAAGAGGATGCGCAGCACAAAACATTAGATAGGAGAATTACCAATTGTAATATTTTTTCCCAAAGAAAATGATTAAACGTATTAAAATGAGGAGTACATTTTTCAGTTATTTTTTTTTTACATTTTGATTTTTCTAATTTATTTATAAGCATCATTATTTATATTAATAAGGATCGATATCAAAATGTTTAACAACATTTTAAATTGCATTAAAATATATCAAAAACATTCCTTTCAAATTCAAATAAATACTGTTTCAAAATTAAATTTCTCATTTAGCAGATAATTTTTTTGATAATGGTTTATTTCGATGTTTAAATGTTTAGTATATATATGTGTGTTTTTATATTTTAGGGTATTTAAGCATTAATGTTTATAAATTCGTTGAAAAGTTTACTTATCACAGCTTAATTTTTACTAAAGTTTGACAGCGTTTATTTTCATTTTGAGTGATATATATGCTAATTTTGTTGTGTGTTTTTTAATAATCTTTTATTTTTAAAGATTTTTTTATCTATATATCTATTCTTTATGTCATAGCGTTAGAACAAACAAGTTACAAAATTGAAAAAAAAAAAAAGAAACTCAAGATAAATTATAACGGGACTGATTTTAGCCTAAAAAAAATGACTTTAACAATCTTTATTTTAATCAATGTTTAGGCCACATGAATATTAATTTATAAATTTCAACGAAAATGTTTTAAGACTGTGAAAAAATCTATATTAGAGAAGCTAATTATAAAATATAAATAGAGAAAAAAGCATATCAGAAGTGACTTAAGTATGTTATATTCATTTTTATTTTTCTACATAGCATGACATTAATTTGCCTCTTAACTTTCTCATTGTTTTCGGAGCATTCCCATTGAATAAGAAAGTTGTATGATATGAACTTGAATAAGCTAAGATTCAGTTATGTTGAGTTATCATAAGTAGGATATTAACTAATTGGATGCCTGCAAATGACGTCATCGTAGGTAAATCGTAGCACTTGTTGAGTCAGAAATCAATCAGGTTCGGCACACGCATTACGTAGCTTACAGATATTCAGTTAAATCTGATTTAAATCACATGGTTAGGCATAATCACTCAACTTCTTCTCGAGTTATAAGAGCCCAATTTAAAATTATATTAACTTTTGAAGTGCAATATTGTTTGTTAATAAACAAAGAGATATAGATCTTTGACTACCCTCAGCATAAAATTAAAAAATTATTATCGTAGTCTTTACTGATGAGAAATTTGTTCATTCCTCTTCTAATTTATGAATATTTTACAATGTTTTATTTAGCTGTTTTACTATTAAGCCTACAAGCCAACACGTGTGCATGAAAACATTACATTTATATTATGAATAAATGAAAACGTTACATTAATATTTTTGTCTATTCTTTCGATTTTGATTTTAATTATTCTTTAGAATTAAACATTTAAGACTAAAAGCGGGTTAATTTTATTATGAATGTTATGATAGTTTAGATTTTCAAGTTTGTACATGTTTCTCCGATTTCGTTCACCAAAGGTCAGTTTATATCTTTTATGAATGTAAAATAATGGCAGAAATTTTTTTATCTGGCTAGCATTTTTAAAACTGAAAATTTAATATATATA